TATTTCCATGGGCGATTCGATTTTCATAAAGAAGGAAGCATCCCCACATATTTACGCGCTTGATGATTTTCGATGTTCATGAGCGCAGTCTGTTTTTAAAAATCAAATTAAATGTCACCCCTCGTTTAGGTTTATGGCCGCTGTCGGACGCAAACTTTGCCCGCATTGGGCGAGTGGGTTATGAAGGGCTTAATCTAGCTAACTTTTGAGCCAAAAAAATCAGTTCAAATAAAATTGATAAAAATACAATACCTGCAGGTTATTAATAATTTTTTTGAAATAAATCTTGCTAAACGTTTTGCATTCTTCCAATAAGAATAACTTATGATGCACTTTGTATATTATCATAGTGTCAGACATTTTACACTTTGCAAACAAATATGTTAGCCACATAAATTGAAAATTTCAAATACCTACAGCTCCAAACCATTCGAAAAAAGCCGAAAAATTGTGAAAATTACACCGCGTCTAAAAAAATCGAATATTATCATTCGATAATTCGGGGTTCTACGATGTGTATATATATATATATATATACACACACATGCGTTTTGTTAAAAAAACGTTTTTTATTGTTCTAAAAAAGTACAAGAATAATTTTTTTTTAAAGAAATCACGGTTTGGTTGGGTTAGGTTAACCTTGGCTAACCAAGGCTAACCTTGCAATACATCAACCAACTAGTTTCGTTTTCGACTGGAGCAAATAACCTTCTGTCGAAATCGTGGTAACAGTCATAGTAGAAGAAAAAAAAACTACTCCGACTACCCCGTTTATGATCGTAAGTTTATAATATTACAGTCGGCGGCAGCTGCAGTGTTTGCAGCCCATTTTTCTCTCACTCTATCCTGCTTCACCCCTTCACCCCGTCACACCAGAGATCCGATTACAATCCGATGGGCCGTGGTATAATTTCAGGCTTTTTTTTTTTTTTTTTTTTATCAAGATCGAGTGGGCGGCCCCCGGGGGTTTTACCACGCCGGCCAAACGACACAACAGTCATTAGTCACCCGAGGCTGCGCCCTATCGATAGAAATATTGACAGTTTCATATTATATAAACGTCATTAATTTTCCGCCACGCCGCGCCAGTGTACCTGTACGCGCGCGCCGCGGTCACCATTCCCGTCGTCGTCGTCGTCGTATTCTCGTGTCGCGCTCGTTGCCCATACCGCAGACTCGGAGTGGACCAGGTATACAGTGTGTGAGAATATATTACGTTGTACAATGATATGATAGCCGATACGTATAACAACATTACGCACACCGTACATGAATAAACGCACGTGTATACAGGGCGTGCACGGGCGCGCGCGTGTTGTACCAGTGTATACGTGTATCTCGACTATCTCGTATGGCGGCCATGCGTTCCTAGCAAGAATCGCGGCATTTCGAGTACTGTTTTTCGATTTACTATTATTCATTTCTGTTTCGTCCACTTAAAATCCCTCGTGACAACCTGATACAAGGTCCATCAGTTTATTGACCACCATCGTGTTGTACTTAGTAAATAATATTAAAAAAAAAAAAAAAAAACATAGAGATTTTAAATATATATCTCGTTTAAACATTAAAACATTGACATATAAACACAAATAGTCTTCTTGCATTTATACTTTATACGATTGGATGGCTAGTTTAGTCTAATGTTAAAGCTTAAAGCACACAAATTTACTACGTCGTGCGTTTGTAAGACGGAGATAGCACAATATGTGAGTATATGACTATAACGAACTAGCCTTGGATTTTCGAAAATTGAAACTAACGCACTGTTTTGTGTCTGTTGCACACGTAATATGTATCTTTCCCGCTACTTTTGGACACTTTTGGCGGATCCCATTGAATCAAATGAGCCCGATCTCGGAGATAAGAGTTGTTTTTTTAGGCGGATTGAAGTAATACGTTGGGTTGAAGTAAACCATGTTGTTGCGGGAGAAGAGTGATTTTTAGCGTTTTACACATCTACGATGTACAGACTGCCAAATGAATCTACGTGTGAAATATTTTATATTCATGGTTTACGTGTCAAATATGCGCTCTTCCAGTCGTTTTCATGGTCAAATATCGTGTTAAACATATGTTAAATAACATCCCTCGTCGTAGCTTCGAAGCTGAAAATAAATGAACTATTGTAACGGTGATGAATCGGCTGCACTGCAGCTGTAAATTCGACTTTTGCTGCTCATGGGTGTTTTTTTTTTTCAATTTCGTTTTCCAAAAATGTACATACAGTTTTTAAACAGACCCCAGTCGAATATATTTAGGCAATTTTCCGTCTGCGAATTTGATATTCGTATGCGCCCATTCTTACGCGGCTGTACCTAGACGAATAATACCCGATATACGCGCGCATATTATTATGAATTATAATAATATTCTGTGCGTTGTAGCAGTAAGAAATGAAATCGAACCGTGACTGCGGGACTTTGCCGGGCTGCGCGGTGGCAACGAAACCATTAAAACGGTCGCTGCAGATTAACGATTTCGGCTCGACGTCACGTACCGTAAAATCATAAACATAAAAATGTAGATATACATAATATTATTGTTATCATTATTGTTATCATTATTGTTATTATTATTATTATTATTATTGTAACAAAACACCGGAGACGAAAACTATCGTGTATAATAATAATAACGCGTACACCACTGCTATACGACTTACGTATTATATAGTCGACTTCCGACGGTTTTCATTATAACGGGCTATAGTTTAACCCGTAATTATATATTACAATATGCAAACATCGGACACATAAATTCACAATGAAGTATATACGTACACATATACTATAATAATACGGTCTTAGCCGGCACTACGGACGTTCGGAGATCAACTACCGAAATACGAAGTGTGTTTACAACGTGCGTATTTTGTATACAAATAGCGTGGGTATTAATTTCGCTTAGTCAAGGTAAATGATATAGGTATACAATACTTTGTAACGTGTATAGTTTGGAAATGAATGATTTTTTTTTTTTAAATTTAATTTTCGTTTTTAATAAAATGAGCATCGGAGCTTCGTCGTTACCAAAGTCGAAATTTTCCTCGGCCGACTTGCCGCTGTTAAAATATAAATTTTTTCTTTTTAATTATCAAACATT